AAATTTATTTTTGGCTGCTTAGGGTCTTTGCTGCTGCGCGCAGTCTTTCTCTAGTTACGGCGAGCAGGGGCTACTCTTCGGTGCAGTGCGTGGGCTTCTCACTGCAGTGGCTTCTCTTACTGCGGAGCTTGGGCTCCAGGCACTCGGGCTTCAGCAGTTGTGGCTCGCGGGCCCTAGAGCGCAGGCTCAGTAGTTGTGCCGCACGGGCTTAATCGCTCCGCGGCATGTGGGATCTTCCCGGACCAGGGATCAAACCCGTGTCCCCTGCAGTGGCAGCCGGATTCTTAACCACTGCGCCACCAGAGAAGTCCCTGGAACACAAATTCTTGATTCCAGAACTACAGCTCCTAAGTCCCGGGTTAATCCACTCTAGCCAGTAATAATATCGCAGACATCCTAAGGCCTGACTCAGTAGGCTACACTTGACTCTCTCCCAGTCCTTTTGGTTGAACTCGCTCTGTGGCGCGCCCGGTGACGCCACAGCGAAAAGAGGCTGGGAAGCGGAGGCAGCCCATATTCGAGTCCCGCCTATGCCCCAAAGACTGCGGCCGCACGCAAGTCACCTCCCTTCCCGGAGTTTCAACCTCCGTGCCCGGGAAGGAGCCCCAGCGCACCAAACTCAGTAAGCGCACAAGCAAGGACAGCGTCCGGCGCGAAGCTACCGAGACCAAGAACGGACCGACCCCCGCAGCCTCGCACGTCTTTCCCAAAGCCTCGCGCGAAGACTGTGCCCGCCGGAAGCGGAAATCGCGGGCGCCGGAATCGGGGAGCGGCCGGACTACTTTCCCAGCGTGTTGTGCGCCGCGCCTGACTGGCAGATACGCAGGGGACTTCTTGGCGGAGGGGGTGCCGTGTTACCTTGAGCGTCTCTCCTGGAAGTGGCTTTCCGAGGGGCTGGGGAGAAGCCTCCGGCCGGGACTTTTTCGTTGCCGAGGCCACGGGCCAGTCCCTTGCGTACTCTTAGCCTCGGTTTCCACATGTGTGAATGGGGGACGTTAAGTCGTTCAAAATCCTTTCATCCGTTCATACATATATTTTTTAAAGCCACATATGAGCGATCACATCGCCACCTCTGCTAGGTGCTGGGGTTTCGGCGGCGGTGGTGAACAAGTGCTCTCTTTCATGGAATTTACATTCTGCAAAGAGAGGCATACAGCGGACAAATAATTGCACAAATAATTGTTTAGTCACCTCTTTGGTGAACGCTACCAAACAGATAGAGAAGAGAGGACCTGTCTCTCTTAGGATGGACGGGACAGTTGAGCAGAGGAAGGAAGGTATCTTAGAGTTAGCCTGGGGAATGGGGGAAGAGGGGTCCACACAGAAGGAACCGCAGGTGTGAAGGTCCTGAGGCCCAAGAGATCGGGGTGCATTTGCGGGACAGAAAGGAGACCATTGTGGCCCCGGTGCAGGGGGCCAAGCTTGGGAGATGAGGCTGGAGAGGTGAGACCAAGCAGGAGGGCCTGGGCGGCTCCTGTGAGGATTGAGGGTTGTATCCTAAGAGCAAGGGGAAACCAATAGAGTTTGGGGTTTTAAGCAGGATAGTGTCCTGACAGGAGAGGAAGCTTTGTGGAGTACAGATCTAGAGAGGAGCAGTGAGAGCAGCTGGAAGCTCCTGGGGCCCGAAGTTGAGGTAATACTAGTGATGGTGGTAGTCATAGAAGCAGGGATCTGACCCAGATTTCTAAAGCAGAAGCCACAGGGCCCTGGGGCTGATTCGGTTGGGGTGAAAGAGGGAGAAGGTAAGAATAACAGTTTAGTAAAATGAGGATAGTAACACCTGGGATAGGCGCCGTTGTGATTTAAATAGGCAGTAGAATGCCTGACACATAATAAAGGCTTAATACATGCTAATTTTGTAAATAATAAAGACTTCCTCTCTGTTCAGAGCAGTGTTCTTTGTAATGATAAAACCTAAAAACAATTTCAATGTCGATCAACAGAATGATGGAGGGATAAATCTCATAGAGATTGTTTGTTTTTTAATTTTTATTTATTTGTGTGTGCTGGTTCTTAGTTGCGGCACACGGGATCTTTGTTGCCGCATGCAAGATCTTCGTTGCAGCATGCGGGATCTTTAGTGTAGGCATGCGGGCTTTTAGTTGTGGCATGCGGGATCTAGTTCCCTGACCAGGGATTGAACCTGGGCCCCCTGAATTGGGAGCACAGAGTCTTAACCACTGGACTACCAGTGAAGTCCCTTAATGTGCTTTCCCCCCCCTATTTATTTATTTATTTTTGGCTGCATTAAGTCTTCGTTGCTGCGTGAGGGCTTTCTCTAGTTGTGACGACTGGGGGCTACTCTTCGTTGAGGTGCGCGGGCTTCTCATTGTGGTGGCTTCTCTTGTGGAGCACGGGGTCTAGGCGCACGGGCTTCAGTAGTTGTGGCACACGGGCTTAGTTGCTCCGCGGCATGTGGGATCTTCCTGGACCAGGGCTGGAACCCATGTCCCCTGCACTGGCAGGTGGATTCTTCAGCACTGCGCCACCAGGGAAGCCCCTAATGTGCATTTTTAACAGCAGCAACAACAACAACAAAATAGCCATTATTGGGAATTTGCATTCTTGAAATATTGAAACCTAGCAAATATTCTCATAAATAATTTTAAATAACTGCAGTACTGATTTTTAAGCAGGCATTATTTATTTATTTATTTTAAATTAACTTATTTGTATGTTTATTTTTGGCTGTGTTGGGTCTTCGTTTCTGTGCGAGGGCTTTCTCTAGTTGCGGCAAGCGGGGGCCACTCTTCATCGCGGTGCGCGGGCCTCTTACTATCATGGCCTCTCTTGTTGCGGAGCACAGGCTCCAGCTGCGCAGGCTCAGTAGTTGTGGCTCACGGGCCCAGCTGCTCTGCAGCACGCGGGATCCTCCCAGACCAGGGCTCGAACCCATGTCCCCTGCATTGGCAGGCTGATTCTCAACCACTGCGCTGCCAGGGAAGCCCAGCAGGCGTTATTAGTTGTATACTGTTCCTATTTTAATTTTTTTAACATTTCTCTTCACCATCTAAGATTTTTATACTTGCAGTATAACATGGCTACGGTAACGTGCACAAATCTGAAGGGTATGGCTCAAAGAATCTTACAAAGCTGTACACCTGTGTAACCTCGCCCAGATCAAAATATAGGTCATTTTCAATTCTTTGAAGGCTCCCTCATGCCCCTCCCCAGTCGGCACTCCCAGCCCTTGCCCAAAAGCACAAATCTTATTTCCATCACCTTCAATTGATTTTTCCCGTTCTTGAACTCTGTAAAAGGGCATCCACAGGGTGCATTCTCTTTGCTTGCTGGCTTCTTTCACTCTCCATTAGGTCTGTGAAACTCACCCATGCTGTTGTGTTTATCAGTAGTAGGTTCATTTTTATTGCCCAAGATTGGTCCATTGTGTGACTCTGCCATAGCTTATCCACTCTCCTGCCACCCAACATTTGCAGTTTCCGGTTATAGGCTATCATAAATTAAGCTGCTATGAACATTCTCTTCCGTGAAATCGGGGGAATATTTTATCATACCAGGTACATGGGAATTCATTTTGTGATTCCCCATTTTAAAAAATGCCCACTATTGTTAATACGATGACTGTATCATTATGACATGAACCTGATTAGTGTACCACATAAAAGAAACCACCGCCCCTCGCCGTGCCTACAAAATGGAACAAAACAATCAGTAAAATGGCTCCTTATGGGACCTGGGCATCTGTGAACAGGCTTGTCTTCACACAGCCTGAAGTAGGAGGTTGGCGATGCTGTCCCTGTTTTCCAAAGGAGGAAGTGGATTCTGGGATGTCAGGTGACTTGTCTAAAGTCCTGCAGTTAAAAAGCGGCAGAGCTGGAGTTGTAATCCGTGCTTGCTGGGCCTGGGGAATCCCAAGATGTGTCAGCTGAGGCCTTCACCCTCACCCAGCTGACCCAGGTCAGGAAATGCAGAAGAAATCTGTGCACAGCCATTACTGGGTACACAACTGAGTCTGTGCCAAGCATGGGCTGCAGCATCACTGTGGGCATGAAAAGAGCTTCCAAAACTGGAGGTAAAGTCATCAGCAGAGAGCAGGACCAATAGTCCTTGGAATACCCACCCCCGCAGAAAAAGATTGCCCCAGTGACCAGGAGCATGCAGGCCGGCAGCTGGGATACCACTGCTGCTCCCCATGGTCACTTACTGAATGCTCACCGCCTGCCTGCGCCCTAGGGAAGCCCATGTGGGCTTCCGTGAAGTCCATTTCCTTTCGAGGGTTCCAGAGAGTCCTGGGAAGTGCTCACACACCCTGTGGGCACAGCCTCTGCCCTGTACCCGTGGTCTCTGCTGTTCCTGTCATCTCTGAGAGCTGTTTCTCCAGGGATGGCAGGCACATTCCCTGAATCACTCCGTTTTGTCCACACAACAACACTGTGGGAGCGATAGTATCAGCACAGTTTTATAGATGAGGACACTGAGGCCCACAAGAGTAAGTGACTCGCCCAAGGTCACATCGCACAAGGTCAATGGCAGGGCAGGGATTTTCACATCAGCTTCGCCAGACTCCAAAGTTGGAATTGTTTTCTCACCATTCTGGTCTGCCAGGGTGGGGCAAAAGGGAAGGCAGGAGTGAGGGGCACAGAGTTTGGGGAAGATGGCAAAGATGAGTTTTTAAGTGTTTAGGACGCCCCGTGCAGGAGGGAGGCTTTGGGACAGACGTCAGAGCCTGATACGGACAGCAGAGCATGATTTGGAACTTGACTCTGGTTCTGGGGCAGAAGGGGCTGGTCGTCCAAGGCAGGCCCTCCCAGGTCTTTAAGACTCCTGAGGGCCTGAGAGTCTCACACTATTTTAAAAAGAACAATACTTTTATTTGAGGATAGCTCAAAGAAGTCATTTACAAAACACCTTTTGTTTTCAAAGCACAGCTTTTCATAAAAAGCAATGTCCACCCTTTAATATATGCGCTAGTACACAGGTGTGTGTCAGGGGGCTGCCCAGGACTTGGGGAGCCCCGCGGGCCCAGGATGTGCCAGTGCTCAGCATTCCTCATCTGAGTTGTCCTTGGCCCACCAGCCGACCTTTGGGGGGCCGGGGGTGGCCTGGGGGCCAGCGGGGGCAGGGACAGAGGCCGGGGCTGGGGCCAGGTTCACCCAGCCGGGCCCTCGGGGCAGCACGTGGCTTTCATTCAGTCTGAAGATGCGGTAGTTCTCATAGTGGACGTTGTGTGTGATGTCCTTCAGGTCTTGGAGGTGGGAGCTGGGAGATAGGCGGCAGGTCAGCAGGACTTCCAGGGCATCCTCCAGGGCCCCCGCAGCCCCCCGGGCTCCCCACATGCTCACCGGATGAGCAGGTCTCTCAGGAGGGGGAACTCACAGTGAGCCATGTTCTCCACTACAAGATACGGCACCAAACCCCTGAGTGCAGGCTCTGTTCCACACCCTGCCCTCGGCCAGCACCGAGTAAGCACCTGCTGTAAGCTGCACACCCCCTGCCACTGCCAGCCCTTCCCCACATGTCTCCCTGTGTTAGCCCACCTCCTGTTTGTTAGTTCATTCATTCATTCATGGCTGTGTCCCAGCCCCTGGTACAGGTGGCTCCTATAAACAGCTGTTGAATCAGCAGGGCCTTCCTCTGCTCCCTCAGGTACCCCCTCCCATCCCACATTTCCTTCACTGTGCTTTTCCCACCTGTCCTTGTCTGGTCAGCTCTGTGGGCACAGGGACATTATTGGTCCCGCTTTCACTGTATCCCTTCAGGAATTCCACATAGCATGCCCGGCACATAGTAGGCCCACAATCAATTCTAGTGAATGAATAGAGTGCCTCCTGGGTGCCAGGTATCATGCAAAGCAGAGGCTCTGCCCCCTCCAACCACCCTATGAGGTTGATGTTACAATGATACCCATTTGACTGTGAGGAAACTGAGGCCCAGGGGGTCAGGGAACTGGCCCGGGGCTTCTGAGCTGCACAAAGGAACCTGATCCCAGGTCTGTCTGTTTCCTGTGCTGGGATCTGTGGTGGGTGTAAGGATGCCAAAGGCAACAGGGCTTTTCAACATGTTCTCCCCTGAGCCCTCGCCAGGGCCCTTGCACTGACCTTCAATGATGCCCCACTTCGTCTTCCGGCCCAGGACACACCTCCCATTCACAATGTGCTCTCGGTCAGCCCCGACCACAGCAAAGGGGATCCGTTCCTGCAGGGAAGGGACAAGATCGGAGGGTTGGCCCCACCCGGGAAGTGGAGAGAGAAGACACTAAGATAGGAACCTGCAGGATGCTGTCCTTTGTGGGGAGAGAAAGTGATAGAAGGAGCACAGATATCTGAAGTCAGAAGACACAAAGTCTAATCAGTGTGCCTCGGTTCCCTCATCTGTAAAATGGGAGTCATGACAATACTGATGCAGGGCTCTGTGAATGTTTGGGAAGCATAATTTTGGGCTTAGCATAATGAAGGGGTTAGCAGAACAAGTCTTGGAAACCAAGTGTTACTCAGAGCTACATTAGTGATATAATACTGCTCATGCCCAATTTCTTACCACCTTCAACCATTATCATGAGGGTTAAGAGATAATTTTGTACTATAATTCGAAAAGACACGTGCACTTCTTAGTTCATAGCAGCACTATTTACAAAAGCCAAGACATGGAAATAACCTAAATGTCCATTGACAGCTGAATGGATAAAGAAGATATGGCATATATATATACATATACATACAATGGAATATTACTCAGCCATAAAAAAGAATGAAATAATGCCACTTGCAGCAACATGGATGGACCTAGTGATTATCATACTAGTTGAAGTAAATCAGAAATAGAAAGACAGGGACTTCCCTGGTGGCGCAGTGGTTAAGAATCTGCCTGCCAATGCAGAGGACATAGGTTCAAGCCCTGTTCCAGGAAGAACCCACATGCCACGGAGCAACTAAGCCTGTGCGCCACAACTACCGAGCCTGTGCTCTTAGCCCACGAGCCACAACTACTGAGCCTGTGTGCCACAACTACTTAAGCCTGTGTGCCTAGAGCCCGTGCTCCCCAACAAGAGAAGCCACCGCAATGAGAAGCACGTGCACCGCAACCAAGAATAGACCCCGCTCGCGGCAACTAGAGAAAGCCCGCACACAGCAATGGAGACCCAATGCAGCCAAAAATAAATAAATAAATAAATTTATTAAAAAATGTAAAGAGAAAGACAAATGCTATATGATATCACTTATATGTGGGAATCTAAAATATGATACAAATGAACCTATCTACAAAACAGAAACAGATTCACAGACATAAGAGAACAGATTTGTGGTTGTCAAGGGGGTGGGGTGGGGGAGGGATGGACTGGGAGTTTGGGATTAGCAGATACAAACTACTATATAGAGACTGGATAAAAAACAAGGTCCTACTGTATAGCACAGGGAGCTATATTCAAAATCCTGTAATAAACCATAATGGAAAAGAATATGAAAAGGAACACATATATATATATTTTTTTAAACATGTATATATAAATATATATATACATATACATTATATATATAAAACTGAATCACTTTGCTGTATACCAGAAACTAACACAACGTTGTAAATCAACTATACTTCAATAAAAGAAATTTAAAGAGAGAGAGAGGACTTCCCTGGCCGTCCAGTGGTTAAGCCTCCGCCCTTTCCACTACTGGGCACATGGGTTCGATCCCTGGTCGGGGAAGATCCCACATGCCGCAGGGCGCGGCCAAAAAATTAAAAAGAAAAAAAAAAGAAAGAGAGAATTTTGTAAACGAGGGGCTGGCAACCTATGGTTCCTGGGCCAAACCAGGCAAGTTCATTGGCATACCGCCCCTGCCATTCATTTACTCTTGTCTATGTTGCTTTCATTCTACTACAGCAGAGTTGAGTAATTGCAACAAAGTCTAAAATACTTACCATAGTCTGGCCCTTCACAAAAAAAGTTTGCTGAGCCCTGTTGTAAATTCTAGTTGTTTACTTATTCGTGGCAGGAAGTGGAGATTAAACGGGCAAGTGCTGCATGTAGGTTTGTTTTTCTAAGAATTAGGTTGTGATGGGGAATAAATTGATGCTAATAATAATAACTGTCTCTTGCACACTTATTATGCATCAGCCCATATTTGACCCTCAATAGATGTTATATATTTGGATGATTTATTGAGAGGTTAATTTGAATACATTCTCCTTTATTTCCCCCAGTAATATTCCAGCTGTGAGCAGGCTGCTGTCTTTGCTGGCCTCAGGACAGAAAGCAGAATGTCAAGGCTCTTTGAACCTTTCACAGGAAATACTGTTCATTGCTCCAATGGGGAGGGGAAAGAGGGAATGTGTGGAGAAACCGGATGCCAGATAAGAAGCAGGGCTTCCATGTACAGATGTGCAGTTTGTGCACTGCACAAAGGTAACTTACCATGAGGCTTTGTAGGGCTGAAATCCCATGCAGGCTCCCTTCTGTGAAGGAAGCTACTGCCTTTTTCTAATTCAAGCTAAAGTGCTGTGTAGGTTAGCAGGGTCCCTGGGGGAGGGAGTAGAGGCCAGGTGTCTATGGATGAAGAATCCCAGGCCTCACCCAGGTGCTTTGCAGGATCCAGACAGACTGACATTGAATGTACCACAAGGACAGGAAGATGGGGGCTTGGAGGTGAAATTCAGTTGATTCAGAGAAAATGAAGATGTGAGCTATTTCCTTTCTTTCTCCCCCTCCCCCTTTCTTTTTCTTTCTTTCTCCCTTCCTTCCTCCCTCCCTTCCTTCCTTCCTTCCTCCCTCTCTCTCTTTCTTCAACTTTACTGAGTATAATTTACATACCACAAAATTTGCCCTTTTAGAGGTACAGTTCAGTAGTTTTCAGTATTCTCACAAGTTGTGCAACCATCACCAAAATCTAACTCCAGAGCACTTTCATCACCCCAAAATGAAAGCCCGTACCCTTTAGCAGTCACTCCCCATTTTCCCCTAAACCTCCCAGCCCCTGGCAACCACAGGTCTATTTTCTATCTCTATAGATTTGCCTATTCTGGACATTTCATGTAATGGAGTCATATAATATTTGGCCTTTTGTGTCTGGCTCCTTTCACTTAGCATCACATTTTCAAGGTTTATCCACATTGGGTTAGGGTTAGGGTAGGATCTATCAGAACTTTATTCCTTTTTATGGCTAAGTAATATTCCCTTATATGGATAGACCACATTTGTTTATCCATTCACAAGTTAATGGACATTTGGAATGTTTCCACTTTTTGGCTATTACAAATAATTCTACTATGAACATTTGTGTATGAGTTTTTATGTCAACATAGGTTTTCATTTCTTTGGGGAGTGGAATTGTTGGGTCATATAGTAACTTAGTGTTTAACCTTGAAGAATTGCCAGACTGTTTTCCAAAATGGCTGCACCATTTGATACTTCCACAAGAAGTGTGTGAAAGTTCCAATTTCTCCACATCCTTACTAACACTTGTCATTGTGTGTCATTTTGATACTAACTACCCTAGTGGGTGTGAGGTGGTATCTTATTGTGGTTTTGATTTGCATTTCCCTCATGACTGATGATGTTGAACAATTTTTCATATGCTTAGTGGCCATTGGTATAAATTCTTTGGGGAAATGTCTATTCAAATCCTTTGCCCATTTTTAACTTGAGGTACTTGTCTTTTATTGTTGATTTGTAAGAGTTCTTTATATATTCAGGATACAAGTCCCTTATCAGATATATCATTTGCAAACATTTTCTCCCATTCTGGGGGTTGTTGATATGACCTATTTCTTGCTCACCTTGAGTTTGTGGATGAGTGGAGATTCACACCTGCTAGAAATATATGAACTTTCCCCAAGTTGCAGAGAGAGACGAATCTTCAGATGGAAAGGATGAGTGGGAAGCACATCACCCAGCCTTGGTCCCACCAGCCTCCCCACCTCCCATGGCCTCCTACCCGGATCTTGCTATTGAGGATCTTGTCATTGATGTCCTCATCAAAGCACTTCTGTGGATACACCTCTATGCCATGAGTCTTCAGGTTTTCCTGGATCTGGGGACCACACACAGATGACCTCAGCCCACCTGTGCCTTCTCCCCCGCTCCACACCCCCACTGACCCCAGACTTGTCCCAGGTGCCCAGATTACCCTGTGCCTGAAGGCCTCTCGCTCCTCAATGGTCAGGCTGTCGGCCCGGGCGATCACAGGCACCACGTTCACAGTCCGGCAGAGCCGCTGCAGGAACTCAATGTCCAGGGGCCGCAGGCTGCTCAGGCGGGGCAGCAATGGCAGTGAGCATACGATGAGCGGGTGCCAGCCCGCAGCCCACCCCGGGGGCCCCTCCTCCTCCTCTTCTCCTCCCCACGCAGGTGGCCCTCTGCCCACCGGCTCAGCCACCTCACCAGTGCCCGGTGGGCGGCACGAAGTACACGCAGCAGTGCACTCGGGTGTCGGGGATGTGTCGCTGCCGGGTAATGAGGATCTCCTCCTGCAGGTACTGCTCGTACTGTTCATTGATGTAGCCCAGGATGGGGTCCCAGCTGGGGTGGGAGATGGCTCAGCCTCAGAACCTTGCCAGGAGCCCCCCTCAACCTAGGTCCTCTGGGTGCTGTCCCCTTAGGATGACCAATCGCCCCGTTTGCCTGGGACACAGGAATTTCAGTCCCACACAACCTGAGGCCCTTGATCACCCAAGTACCAACCCCCCACACCCCTGCATCTTCAGAGACACCCCTGATTCCTCTTCCTCAGCTTCCTCTTCCGTAAAATTGGGACAGTAAGAGAGCACCTACTTTGTAGGGGAGGAGTGAGCATTAAAGGAGAGAAATTGCCGCAGCCTGGTTCAAACCACCAGGGACTCTCTCCCAATTGTTGCCAGGGTCCCTTCCCCCCACAGGGCTATTGTCAACACAGCGGCCAAAAAGATCCTTTTTCTGCTCAGCCTCCAGTGGCCAAAGAAAAGCCAAAGTCCTTATGTTGCCCTACAAGTCCCTACCCCATCCCACTGCTGAGCTCTGCCTCCCCTCCTACCCCACCCCCACTTCAAGGCTTTTGCACCTGCCGCCCTCTGCCTTGATCACTCTGCTTAAAACTGCACTCCCCCACCAACTACAGCTCCATCCCCCTTTCACTCCCAGAAAGTGTCCTGTGTTGGTGATAAAGAGTTCAGGTTCACCCTCCACAAAACTGATTAATTTTGTTCACTGTTTGCCTCCCCACACCCATGACAATATACATTTCATGGAGACAAAGATGTTCATCAGTTCTGTTCATTGCTGTATCCCTGTGTCTAGAACAGAGCTTGCACATACTAAGTGCTCAGTGAGGTGCTGTGTGCAGGGCTGGCTTCGTGGGAGTGTGGATGGAGCCGGCACCTAGGGCTCTGAACCAAGAAGGGCCCACGCAGGGCTGAATGCTCTGTGGGTGTGGTCTTACAATTCTCAGTAATTTTTTTTTTTTTGAGGTACTTGGGCCTCTCACTGTTGTGGCCTCTCCCGTTGCGGAGCACAGGCTCCAGACGCACAGGCTCAGCGGCCATTGCTCACGGGCCCAGCCTCTCCGTGGCATGTGGGATCTTCCCCGACTGGGGCACGAACCCGTGTTCCCTGCATCGGCAAGCGGACTCTCAACCACTGCGCCACCAGGGAAGCCCCTTAGTAATTTTTGAATAAGGGCTCCCACAAGTTGTGCAGCCAGTCCCGACTGTGTGTGTGTGTGTGTGTGTGTGTGTGTGTGTGTGTGTGTGTGTTTGTGTTTCATCTCCTTGAGAGCCTAGAACAACTCTGCAAAGGGGATGTCATCCCCAAGTTACGAAGAAGGAAGAGGAGGCTCAGAAAGCTTGTGTGGCCAGGCCCAGGTTATACAGCTGGGAAGTGGTCAAACCCAGGGGTCCTGACTCTGGAGTGTGGGCTTCTATCCCCCTGCCATACCATAGCCTCTATCGAGTGCTTCCAGGCAGCAAGCTAAGACCTTTACATACTTAACTCCCTTTGATCTTGGGAGGAGAGTTGCACACACCCACTGTACAGACGAGTAAACTGAGCCTCAAAGATGCCACAGCCAGGTGGCTCCAGGCCTGGATGTTTCCCAGAGACTGGAGGGGCAGGGGCAGGAGCAGCCAGGGCTCTGTCCTTCCCACCTCCCCGCCAGGACCCACCACTTGTCGTTGTTGATCTGGTCCCCGAAGCCGGGTGTGTCAGTCACTGTCAGCTTAAGCTTCACGCCGCTCTCCTCGATGACTGTAGGGGGAGAGCAGAGGGGCTGAGAGTGGGCCTGGGTGGGTGGGGTGGGGGTGGGGTGAGGGGGTGCTCACTCACCGTGGGTCACAGACTGCAGCTGCAGTGTCTGGGGTGTGGGCACCCCCAGGCCCGGCATGGTGGACTTCCACATCTTGGACTTGAAGAGTGTGTTCACCATGGTGGACTTGCCCAGCCCGCTCTGTCCTGTGAGTAATCACACGGCAGCAACAACTGTGGATGCGTTAGGCATGTTTCTGAAATTCTTAAATAAATTGTTTTAGAAAGTAAACTGTTTTCTAAGTATAACAAATACAGAAAAGCACGTATTATCATAAGTCTCCAGCTCAATGCCTTCCCCCATTTTTTATTGAGGCAAAATTCATATAATAAAAAATTAACATTAACCATTGAAAGTGTACAATTCAGTGGCATTGGGTACATGCACAGTGTTGTGCAACCACTACCCCTATCTAGCTCCAAAACATTTTCGTCACCCCAGCAAGAAACTCTATATCCATTAGGCACTCACTCCTCATTCCCCCTCCCCCCAACCCCTGGCAACCACTAATCTGCTTTCTATCTATGGATTTGCCTATTCTGGACATTTCTTTTTTCTTTTTGCCCACGGCACTTGGCTTATGGGATCTTAGTTCCCCAGCCAGGGATGGAACCCCGGGCCCTAGGCAGTGAAAGTGCCAAGTCCTAACTACTGGACCTCTGGGGAATTCCCTGGACATTTCATATAAATGGAATCTTGCAATAACTGTCCTTTTGTATCTGGCTGCTCCCACTCAGCATAATGCTTTCAAGGGTCAGCCACACTGTTGCATGTGCTAGAACTTCATACTTTTTCATGGCTAAATAATATTCCATTGGGTGGATAGACCACACTGTGTTTATCCATTCATCTGTTGATGGGCAGGTCAACGCATTTTTACAAATTAAACCACCCATGTATGCAGCACCAGATAAAGAGACAGAACACACAGCTCCGCCCAAGACCACTCCTGCCTCCTCGCAGTAACTGTTAACACAGCTCCAGGGACAGCCACTCTCCTGACATCATCGGTAGGGAGCAGCGCTGCCCGCCCTCTACTTGGGGAATCATACAGCACGTGCTCTTTCATGTCTGGCTTCTTTCAGTGAGATTCCCCTATGCTGCCTGAGCTTGTAGATGGTCCATTCTCCCTGCTGTGCAGGGTTCTCAAACTCCGCGGACCACGCCCTGCAGTAGTAAACATCCTACATCACAGGGCAGGACACACTTTTGTGTCTAAAACTGAAACTGGGACTTCCCTGGTGGTGCAGTGGTTAAGAATCTGCCTGCCAATGCAGGCAACACAGTTTTGAGCCCTGGTCTGGGAAGATCCCACCTGCCACAGAGCAACTAAGCCAGTGCGCCACTACTGAGCCTGCGCTCTAGAGCCCGCGAGCCACAACTACTGAAGCCCATGTGCCTAGATCCCATGCTCCACAACAAAGAGAAGCCACTGCAATGAGAAGCCCGCGCACCTCAGTGAAGAGTAGCCCCTGCTCACCGCAACCAGAGAGAAAGCCCACACGCAGCAACGAGGACCCAATGCGGCCAAAAATAAACAAATAAATAAAATTTAAAAAATTAAAAAAGAACTGAAATTGTCCTTTGGGCTGTGTTATCCAATATAGGAGCCACACCTGGCTATTGCCACTGGCAGTATGGCCATACACCAATCTGAACTGAGATGTGCTGTTGGTGTAAAAGAATAAACCATATTTTGCAGACTTGTTATGACAAAAACGTAAATGATCTCATGAATAATGTTTTATATCGATTACATGTCGAGATGATAGTATTTTTGGAATGTATTGGTTTAAGTAAAAAAGACGATTAAAAGTAAGTTGTCCTGTTTCTCTTTACTTTTCTAAAGGAAGCTACTAGGGAATTTAAAATTATGCATGTGGCTCCTATGACATTTCTTTTCTTTTCTTTTTTTTTTTTGGCCACGCTACGTGGCATGTGGGATCCTAGTTCCCTGACCAGGGATTGAGCTCGGGCCTCCAGAAGTGGAAGTGCAGAGTCTTAACCACTGGACTGCCAGGGAAGTCCCCTTCTATGACATTTCTGTTGGGTACCCCCACCTTAGAATAATGCCCTTAGTTGGTGCTACACACTCTGACATTTTATGTTCCATTATATCCAGTTTATTTTGTGAGAAGTGTAGTTTTTGACCCACAACATTAATTTTGCATATATAAAAATACAATTCCAGTTAAAACTGACCCATGGGGAACTTCCTAGATGCCAGGCACTGTGCTAAGCCAGATGAGGAAACTGAGGCAGCGAGGGGTCAGAGGCCCTGCCCCCGGGTCACACACTGGGGGTTGTTAAGGCCTGGGACCAGGATGAGTCTGGTGTTCCCTACTTCCTGCCACACATGGCCTCCCCTTTTATTGCTTTGTTTGCGTTTGGTTGGGGCTTCACGGTGATTTTTGTCTTTTCACAATTCAGTGTTTCCCAGATTTCCACCTACAACACTCTTGTGAGGTATGACTATCAGGCCCACTTTACAGATGGGGAGGCTGAGGCTCCGAGAGGCGATAGGTCCAGGCCCACAGGGTGGTGTCCATTGGTCTGTCCTCCTGTGAGCCCGAGGCCCTTCACTCACCAACGACCATGATGTTGAACTCAAACCCCATCTTCATGGCCTTGATCTTCAGTTGGTCCAGCACGGCCTCGATGCCCACGTAACCAAGCATCTCGCAGGGTAGGGTCCTCGGGCTGGAGGCCCGTGACGAGCTGGGGGAGGGGGACTGCCTCAGGGGGTCCATGGGGCTGAGGAACAACGATGCCTGTCATCCAGGTGGGGTGGGGAGAAGGGGGTCGCTGGGGCTCCAGAGGGGGACCACCCGGGTTCTCATTTCTGAATCCTGGCTACTGAGACCTGCTCCCAGGCACTCCCGTACTTCATGCCCCCTCACCTACGCACCCCCCAAGTCCCCGCTGCCCACGGGGTTTGTCGAGGGGTGCCTGGGGGAGCTGCCTCTCGGGGGAGACTGAACCCGCTTTCTGATATGCACCAGCCCCAGGGATCTGTCTCTCCCCACTCAGACTCTCCCGCAGCAGAGTGTGGCTGGCCTGGCAAAACTCAGGGGCTGGACCCATGGGGGACAGAGAGGGAGAGAAGCAGCCTCATGTGGCACCTGGTGGCCTTGGATCCCTGTGGGAGCCTTGGGGGGCTGCCCTGTCCTGGCAGACCCTGGTTATGTGCTGAGGGGGAGGGGAGAGGGTGACAGTTAACTGAAGAACATGAGCTCCACCCCCTTCCTGTGACCCCACCTGGGGGCTCCTCTGCAGCAGGGGGCTGAGAACAGGGACAGGTAAGCTACTCCACCAGGCCCTTTCGGGTCACTGCCCTATAACCCTCACAATGACCCCGGCCTAGTTCTATAGACAGGAACCCCCTGCCCCCGCCCCGGGGGAAGCAACTTTGCCCAAGGTCACTTAGCTGGTAAGTGGCAGCTCTGGGCAGCAGCCAGTCCCTCTGCTTCCAAGTTCATGCCCCTTAACCACTCTGTTGGGGAAGCAAACCTGTGACCCATGGCCAGAAAGTACAACATCCATGTGTTTTCTTTGGTCCGTCCATTGTTGGCATCGTAGTGTTTTAAATTGCCAATATAGCCAGAGTTTTGTCTGTGCACAACACTGTTTTAGGAGCCCTAGGATGTTAACTTGTTAATAATCATCAGAGCCCTGTGAAGTAAGTGCAGCTACTACCCCTCAGTTTACAGATCAGAGAGTCCAGTGAGTGGTTCAAGGTCACACAGTGAGGAAGTGGCAGGGCTGGGTTCTGTGTCCACATGCTCACCCTCTGCAGCCTCTTTTCTTGTTCACACAAACCTCTAGATTTCTGGTGTATCTTAGAGATTATAAGCCTTGGCAACTCTGGGTCCAGCCTACAGATGACACAAGCTGCCCTCTTTTCTTTTTCTTAAATTTATTTTTTGGCCACGTCACGCAGCTTGCAGGAGGATCTTAGTTTGCTGATCAGGGATTGAACCCCGGGCCCTGGCAGTGAAAGCGCCAAGTCCTAACCACTGGACCACCCGGGAACTCCCTAGCTGCCCCCTTTAGATGGGCTACGTGCTCTCCCGTTTGCCATAGCCCTCACCCCTCCCTAATGTCTCCCTAATAAGATGTTTCCTATACCAAGTTCATCTCACTCAGTTATTTCGTTCTCACCTGTTTCCTGGCACCTGAGTTTGCAAGCCCTAAGCAATCCTCTGTTTCAGATGTTGGCATATGTTTTCTGTAAAAGGCCAGATAGTATAGATTTTAAGTTTTGCTAATCATAAGATCTCTGTTGCAACTACTCTTCGGCTCTGCCATTGCAGTGGGAAAGCAGCCACAAGTAGATGGACAGGAGTGGCTATGTGTCAGACTATTTACAAAAGCAGGTGGTGGTTTGCCGCCCCCACTCTGCCCACCAGGACTCAGCAACTCTGCCCGATCTGCTCAGCTCAACTGTCCTGAGCCCCAGCAGCCTCTGTCCCTCCCTGCCCATGCCCTTCTGCTCCCCCACTTTCTACACATCTGAAGACAGAGGCTTAAACTTCACTTTCCAGGCTTGGAGGCCAGGATGGGGGCTGGGCAGGACCCTGGGCAGAGCCTGCCCTGAACGCGTGCCATTCCTGTTGAACTCTCTCAATCTACGCCACAGCTCTTGAGGGACATGGCAAGGCTGGCCTCCTCATCAACGCAGATGAGAACGTCCTGTGCGGGTGACCAAACAGCGCTGCTGACCCGGAGACCCACCTTGCACGGGAGGAGATTCCGTCTCTGGGAATGTCTCCTAAGGAAATAAGCCTCTATGCCCAGAAAACACTTTCTCCAGGAGAGGTGTCACGCGTGAGTGATGTAGGATCTGGAAACCTGGGGGGAAGATGCCCACAGGGACTGCAGACTGGAGGATCAGGTCTGCAGAAAGCAGGACCATTCAAGGCGCTCTTGGCCATGTGGACTGGGGAAAGCCAAGGGTAAAGTGATCAGAGTGTGGATGGCAGGTGAACCCAATGTATCCAAAGAATCAAGACTGGAGGGAATCGTACCCACAGGTTGAGTGAGAGTAATACACAAACCATTTAGTGCATTCATTGTGCCAAGGGAGTGTTTACATCAATTATTCCATTCAATCCTCAGCAGCCTGAGGAGGGGGAAATACTCTCCATACACCCACTTTACAGATGAGGAAACTGAGGCAGAGAGGGGACGGGGGTGGGCCTTCGGTCACACACGGGTGGGTGTTAAGGGCTGGGAGCAAGATCCAAGTCCGAGGTCTGACTGTCCTGAAATGCATCCTGCCATGGCCTCTATCCCATCATTGCTCTGCTTAGGTCCAAGGGGCTCTATGGGTGCTTTCTGTCTTTTAATGACTTGGAATATCCCAGATTTTCTTTAATGAGAATAAACAAGAAATGAGGCACCTGGGCATCTGGACAGGAAGACTGAGGGTCAGTGGGGAGAGGAGAGGACTGGCTCCTGCCCACTCGGTCAGGCCAAGGGGTGGGTAGGGGCCACAGTCGTTAAACCATCCCCCTCCCCGCTTTTTATTTTTCAACTGAGGTAAAATTCACAGAACATAAAAATTAACTGCTAGCCATTTTAATGTGAACAGATCAGTGGCATTTAGTATTGATATGTTCACAATGTTGCAAATCTGCCACCGCTACCTAGTTCCAAGACATGTTCATCACCCCTAAAGGAAATTCCATTACCACTAAGCACCCTATCCCCATCCCCCTGCCCCTGGCAAACACTACTTTCTGTCTCTATGGATTTGACTATTCTGGACATTTCATATAAACGGAGTCACATACTATGTGGCCTTTTGTCCTTCTTTCACTCAGCATCATGTTTTCAAGGTTCATCCACTTTGTAGCATGTTAGTGCTTTGTTCCTTTTCATGGCTGAATAATATTCCACCACATGGAGAGACCATAATGTGTTTATTCATTCACCAGTTTGTGGATATTTTGGGGTGTTTTCACTTTTTGGCTATTATGAAAACTGCTGCTGTGAACATTTGTGTACAAGTTTTGGCGTGGACATGATTTAATCTCTTGGGTATATATATCTAGGAGTGGAATCGCTGGGTCTTATGATAAGACTATGCGTAACTATTCAAGGGACCGTTTTCCCCAGTGGCTGCGTCTCTACCCCCTTTTGCAATAGAACAGTCATTTCAAAGTTACCCTCCCTGGGCAACAGGAATCTGAGATCTCAGAACAGGAATGGAGGGGATGGAGGGTGTAAGATGGGGATCCCAGCACAGGAGACTGTATTACATGGTGGTCAAGGGCTCTGGGATCTGACGCCTGGGTTCCAGTTCAGACTTCTCTGCTCACTAGTTGTGGTTGGAAGAATCATGGTGACCAAAGAGTTCCCATCCGAATCGCTGGGAACCTGTGAATATGTTACCTTATGTGGCAAAAGGGACTTTGCAGATGTGATTAAGGATTCTGATGGGGAGATTATCCTGTGGGCCAGTGTAATCATGGGGGTCCTTATAAGAGGGAGGCAGGAAGAGCAGAGCCAGAGAAGGTGTGATGGAAGCAGAAGTGGAAGTGATGGGGGTGGGGCATGAACGAAGGAATGTGGGTGGGTGGCCTCTAGAAGCTGGAAAAGCTGAGGAACTGGGACTTCCCTGGTGAACCGTGGTTAAGAATCTGCCTGCCACATACATACAATGGAATATTACTCAGCCATAAAAAGAAATGGAGTTATTTGTAGTGAGATGGATGGACGGAGAATCTGTCATACAAAGTGAAGTAAGTCAGAAAGAGAAAAACAAATACCGTATGCTAACATATATATGGAATCTAAAAAAAAAAAGGTTCTGAAGAACCTAGGGGCAGTACAGGAGTAAAGACGCATAGAGTAGACTTAAGGACATGGGGAGGGGGAAGGGTAAGCTGGGACAAAGTGAGAGAGTAGCACTGACATATATACACTACCAAATGTAAAAGAGATAGCTAGTGGGAAGCAGCCGCATAGCACAGGGTTTTGTTACCACCTAGTGGGGTGGGATAGGGAGGGTGGGAGGGAGACGCAAGAGGGAGGGGATATGAGGATATAAGTATGCATGTGGCTGATTCACTTTGTTGCACAGCAGAGACTAGCACAACAATGTAAAGCAATTATACTCCAATAAAGATGTTAAAAAAAAAAAATCTGCCTGCCAATGCAGGGGACACAGGTTCGATCCCTGGTCCGGGAAGATCACACTTACCGTGGAGCAACTAAGCCCGTGTGCCACAACTACTGAGCCCGTGCCCTAGAGCCCGCAAGCCACGACTGCTGAGCCCGAGTGCCACAACTACTGAAGCCAGCGCGCCTAGAGCCCGTGCTCCGCAACAAGAGAAGCCACCACAATGAGAAGCCCATGTACCGCAACGAAGAGTAGCCCCCGCTTGCTGCAACTGGAGAAAGCCTGCGCGCAGCAGCGAAAACCCAATGCAGCCAAAAATAAATAAATTAAAAGGAAAAAAAAAAAGCTGAGGAATTGATTCTCCCCTAGGACTTTCAGGAGGAACACAGCCCTGCCCACTCATTTTAGACTCTGACCTCCAGAACTGTAAGATAATAAACTTGAATTGTTTTAAGCCACTAAGTTTATGGTAGTATGTTATAGCAAGAACAGGAAATGAATACATGTGTGACCTGAGCTAGTTGCTGAACTTCTCAAGGCCTCAGTTTTCACATCTGTAAAATGGGAGTAGCAGTAATACCCACTTTAGGATTTCCATGAGGAATACATTAGGTACACACATCCTTCAGGGATATTGTGGGTGCAGTTCCAGACCACCACAATAAAGTGAATATTGCAAAAAAGCGAGTCACACGGCTTTCCCAGTGCATGTAAAAAAAGTTGTTTACACTATATTGTAGTCTATTAAGTGGGCAATAGCACTGTGTCTAAAAAAGACAACGTACGTACCTTGACTAAAAATTATTTTGCTAAAAAATGCCAAAATAATTACAATAATAACATCAAAGATCACCCCTCACAGATTGCCGTAACAGATATAATAAAAATGAAAAAGTTTCCAAATGCTGTTGGAAAATGGTACCAATAGACTTGCTCAAGTTTCCACAAACCTTAAATTTATCAAAAACGCAACATCTGTGAAGTGCAGTAAAGTATGCCTGTATAGCATCAGGCACAGAGCCTAACATTAGCCAACATGTTTTCCCAGCGAGACCGTAAGCCCCACAAGGATAAGGTGTGTCCACCTGATTTACAGCCGGTCCCCAGGGCCTAGCAGGCCTGGCCCCTGCTCTGGGGGAAAAGGGGGAGACGAGACAGCTCCAGGTGCCGCGTCAGGGGCCCTGGGCTCCAAGTTCTGGGGAGAGAGCTCATTTGAGCGACCATAACCACCGTCTCACAAGCATCACTGAGGATTAGAATAGAGAAGGACCCCAAAGGCTGCTGCTGCGCTGCCAGGCACAGTCACTGCCCAGGCAAGGGCGGTGGAACAGAAACATCTCCCTCCCCTCCCCTCCTTTCTTTTTCACCTCCCTCCCTCCTTCCAACCTGCCACCATTTTTCTTGTCTTTTCTTCATTCATGAAGGCAACAGCAGCTGAGTGTCTGCTGTGTTCCAGGTTGGCTGTCTGGTCTATTGAGAAAAATCTCTGGAATGAGTGGCCTGTGGCCTCCTCCTTCCGTGCCCACACCTGCTGACTCACCTGAGCTCCCTCGGTGCCACCACGGGCCCTGGGGGACTGGTGGGGGGCAGGGCTGGTTGCCAAGGCCTCAGGTGGTGTGGACCCGGAAACAGGAAGTAGTCTGTATTCCCAGGATCTAGCACTTGCTTGGCTGGGAGATTTCCAAGGCAGGTGGGGGCCCAGGGGTGGGGCTGCTGGGGGAAGTGGGCGGGGAGGAGCTTGCTCAGGCCAGGGCCAGGAGAGAAGTGGAAGAGAGGCTGGGGTAGGGGCTGGGGCCAAGAGGGGTGGTGTGGGAGGGCAGGGCCAGGGCTGCAGTGCAGGGGGGCAGGGATACGGCAGCCCCAGAGTTCTGAAGTGGCCCTCTGGGGGGCTGGAGCAGGCGGTTCCCAGGACCATCCAGCTGAGATGGCCTTGCTAACGGGGGATGTGGAGCAGGAGCTGAGCGCCACAGCCCAGCAAGTGCTGGGGAAACTGTGGAGCCACCAGCTGTTCCAGTCCGAGTGGGACACCGGTGCCTTCATCATCTTCCTCGTCTTCCTCGGTGAGTGTGGCTTGGCCTCTAGCCCCTGGCAGCCTCCCAGGCCGAGGGCCATATCTGGATACCCATCCTGCCCGCAGGCGTCGTGGCACTCCTGCTGCTGGTTGTCTGCATCCATTGCTGCTGCTGTGGCTGCTGCCAAAGCCACTCCTCCAGGTCCCGGAAGGTGAGCCCGGAGCACCAGGGCCAGGCCGAGAAGGTGACGGTGGGGTGGGGTGGGCCGGGGGGCCGAGGAGTAAAGCCACCAGCCCATGTGCCTCTCTTGCAGAAACACGCCGGGGGATTTGATAACCTTGCCCTGGAGCCTTAATGTGGAGAGTCCTTGCTCCCCTGCCTTTGTCCTGCTGGGCAGCAATAACAATGCCTTGTTCAGCCAAAGCCTGAGTCTGGAGTGTATTCTGAGCCTCCTGTCAGGGTGGGCAGTGTAGGCCCCCACTGCTTCATCCAGATGCCCCCTGTGTCCCTCACAACCTTCAGATGGCATGACTGTCACCAGGAGACCTCGGGTGACGTGCTGCAGCCACCCAGCGGCTGCCCATTCACTATCCCATTCGGCCCCTTGGAGGGCAGGGGTTCAGTCACTGGGTACTCGGCCCAGCTCCTGACTATCAGGGACCCCTGGCCAAGTCCCTACTCAGACAGACAGACAGACAGACAAGACAGACAGAAGGGCTCCAGGCAAAGTCAGATGATCTTTATTTCTTGAAGGCCCTGCCAGGGTTGCCAAGCAAACACAGTCAAGGGCACTACAGCTCATGGTGGGCAGCTTCTGTCCTCCTTCCCCCCCAACTCAGAGCTTAGGGCCACCACCCACTCCTCAGGCTCCAGTGGGAGGGGGTGTGTGGCTGCCCCTTGCCATCCTGGAGGACAGGCTGCGAAGAGGGGAGGAAGGAGAGCCCTGGGCCTGGCCCCAGCCTGAGTCCAAAGGTTCCTGCCTTGGGGCGAGGGCAGGGCTTGGACTACAGACTACCTTGAAGCTCCGCCTTCCTGACCTCCCTCATTCAAAACAAAAAGCACGCCAGTGTCACTTCCTCCCAGTGGGTCCAGTGTTCAGTCCCACCTGTGCAGATGTGACAGGCAGGGCAGGGTGAAGAGGGAAATAAATAGCCCGCAGTGCCGAGCTCTGGCTGGCACTGTGTGTGTGTGTGTGTGTGTGTGTGTGTGTGTGTGTGTGTGTGTGTGTGTGTGTGTGTGTGAGAGAGAGCTCTGGCTGGCACTGTGTGTGTGTGTGTGTGTGTGTGTGTGAGAGAGAGCTCTGGCTGGCACTGTGTGTGTGTGTGTGTGTGTGGGTGTGTGTGTGTGTGTGAGCTCTGGCTGGCACTGTGTGTGTGTGTGTGTGTGTGTGTGTGAGAGAGAGCTCTGGCTGGCACTGTGTGTGTGTGTGTGTGTGTGGAACAGGGACTCCCTGGGCAGGGGCCATTCCCAGGGGACAGGCTCTTGGGCGCTCTGTTCAGAAAGGCCTGTAGCTCCAGTAGCTGGAGAACACAGAGATCTGGGGAAGGAGGGAGATGGGGGAACATGGTGAGTGGTGGTGCTAGGGGATCTGGCCCCTGCTGCACCCTCTGTGACCCAGGTGAGATTTGAAGGTCATCCAAGGGCCATGTGTCAGGAAGAGGATACTGTTGCCAAGCAACACCATGGCCCACCTGTTTGGGGTGTGCAGAGGGTACGACAGATCTTAAGATTAGGGGGCCCTTTAGAGGTGTGCCGCCCCAAAAAAGAAGGGGCTAAACAACCTGCTGTTTGGCTGGCCTAATCTGCGTGAGGCCCAGCCCGGCCCTGACCACCCCTCATGTTCCCACCTTATCCTTGAGCTGCTGGCAGAGCTGCAGGGAGACGGTGAAGAAGACGAGGGCATCGTTCAGCCATGGGATCACACACTCCACCTTGTGCACGTGGCTCACCTCCAGACGCTGTGCACCCCACTCGCTGCGGGGAGATGGGAGGGTCCCTGAGGGCAGTTCAGCTGGCCAGGACCCCATCCCCTGACGAGCAGAGGGCGCTCCAGGGACCCCTCCCAGGCAGCGTACTTACAACATGGCCCCGGGGTTGTGAAGCACGGCACCTCCGGCTGGGCGGAAGTTCTAGGCAGAAGAACATAAGACTGGGTCAGGCCTGGGGCCTAGGGCGGGCAGGGGTGGGGTGGGTGGGGTGCTCACCTTGGTGGAATTGGGCTGCAGGGCATGCAGCTGGTACACGGTAAGGCAGAGCTTGTTGAGGCTGATGTAGACGTTGACCAGCAGGTCGGAAGGCAGGGCGGGGGCGAACATCCGCTGTGGGGAGGGGGGCCGGGCAGGCAAGGGGGATGAGGGCTGAGCAGGCACATCTCACGCCCGCCCCTCCAACCACCCTGGGGACTCCCAGTCCCCATCCCATGGACTGGGGTTTCCAGTGTCTTCTCAGGTACCACAGATAGCTTCCTGCACCACTGGGCTTGGGACCCACTGATCCCGATCAGGGGGGTACATATCTGGGGGATGCAGAATGGAAGCCAAGGACCCATCCCAGAAAACTGCACATAGGACTCTGTCGACAATTTGGGGCTTGCAGGACCTCCTGGCACCCCTGTGTCCCTCCCGGGCACGAGCTGGGCCCCTCTGTGGGGACCGCCTCTCCTGGAGCAGAGGCCGGCCTGAAGCACCACTGACCGTGAGGCCGCTGGCAGCGATCTCAGGCAGGGTGAGGGTAGCTGGAGTGGTGAGCCGGTTTCGGGCTCTGGTCAGCTGCAGCATCACGGCATCCATCAGCTGGGGGAAGGGGGCTGGTCACAGCCGCTGTGAGGGCAGCGGGGCCTGGTCCTGATCCCCTCCCCCTCCCCACCCCTGTGCCAGTAGCAACAAAATTATGGTAGCTCCTAGCTCCTTCCCTGGAGGTCACAGTCTCAGGGCCCGAACCCCTGCAGCAGGGGGCTTGTTAAAGATGCAGGTAATTGGGCTCCAGCTGGGGGTCAGGGGCAGGACAGAAGGTTCTACTGCATGGGATCCTGGGTATTGGTCCAATGGGGAATAGAAGATCCCAAAAGTTAGTCCCAGGGGCATTAGGGTGTGGTGGATGAGGGTACAGGCAATGAAGGAGCTTAGAAGAAGGGACCCTAATTCAGCTTGGGTGCAAGGGGCCAGGGAGGGCTTCCTCAAGGAAGAACTGGGATGGCTAAGTTGAGGCCTTATGGTAGACATCAGCCCCATTTTCACAGGTGAGGAAACTGAGGCTCCAAAGGGTTAAGGTCACACAGCTAGGGAACAGTGGAACCATCTGCACTCATCCCTTCCCTTTGTCAAGGAGCAAAGCTTTGGCTTGAACTCAGAGCCCCAGTTTCCACGGCTTCCAGCTATTCATCCAGCTGTTGCCATGGTGCTGGGGTCACCTGGCTCCAGGGGAAGGCAAAATTACTGGGTGGAGGCATGGGGGCTGCACATTACACCCCAGAGAGTGGTCACAGTTCTGAGAGAGACCTTAGTCCATCTGGTTTCAAATTTTCATGAGGTCCAGAGAGGATAGGTGAACCACCTGAGGACACACAGCAAGTCAGGGGCAGAGCTAAAGCATGAACTCAGGGCATCTGAGCCCATCTTGTCTCTTCACACCACATGAATTCACTTTGTTAATTACAAAAGTTTTTCTGTTGCTGGTACTAAAACCTGTAGCTACTGTTTACCAAGCGTTTACTAGAGGCCACTTTACCTGCCTCACCACGATTGGCAGTCACTACAGCTTGTCCCCCTTTTACAGGTGAGGCTACTGAGGCACAGAATGGCTAAGTAAGTGACTTGAGGTTGCACAGCTCATAGTGGGGGACCTGGTATCAGAGCCCAGGTCTGTTTCTGGAGCCTGGGCTGTGAGCCTTTCAGCTGTGGCTGGATGAACACGTATACACTGAGAGGTGAAGGGTCAACCATCGGCTACACCTGAGAACGTAGGGGCAGAGCTCTCCAGGGGCCCAGTCAGAGGTCAGGGAACCTGGCTCTCCCAGCCCTACGGGCAGCTCACCTTGAGGACCTCTGCTCCTGTCCTGAACTGGTAGCTCTCCTCCCGGTTGGCAAGGAGGTAAATGGCTTGGCTCACGTGGTTCCTGGCGTCCTGGATCTAAAAACAGCACCCAATGAGCAGTTAGTGGGCTGGGCCTCGGCAGGGAGAGGAGCCAGCCTCACAGCAGCCACGTCCCTGGGGGCCCTAGCCTACGGGGGCCCCCACCCTGAGGGCCTATCCTCCTAGGAGGGGCAGGGTGGGTGCTGCCTTCGGGCCAGGCCCTGGCTGGGTGCTGTGAGTCAGGCTTGGTCCCTGGCCTCATGTGGCTCACTTTCCAAAGGAGGACAGAGCATAATAGAGTAAAGGCACAAGATAACAGACGGCGCAACTTGCACAAAGAAACAAGCAGGGTGATGAGGGCGGTGAGGGACAGGCTCCAGGGAAGCGACTCTTGAGCTGACGCTCGCGTGATGAGAAAACCTGAGGGAGTGGACTCCAGGCAGAGGACAAGCCCGAGCAAAGGCCCTGAGGTGGAAACAGATGGTGGCCAGTGAGAGGAGAGAAGGAGGGGGCAGAAACCAGGCCCAATCACATAGGTGCTGTTAGGAAGCATGGACTTGGTCTCCCAGAGCCAGGGGAAGCCGCTGGAAGCTCTGGGCAGGGAGTGACTTGTTCAGGGCATCCCTGTAGCTCCTGCTGGGCTGGGGGCCTACACATAGGACAGACTAGGAGACCAGGCACTGCCCACCACAGCTGTGCTGATAGGAAACACCTTCCCAAGCCTGCTGCGCCTGCAGGTCCCCACAGTGGCCAGCCCAGGAGGCCTCAGTGCTGCAAGGGACTGCCCCTGCCTGCCCTTGTGCCCCTGAGTCGTGGCTGGGGAAGGGCCCGGTTACCTGCTGCAGCTTCCACTGCTTGTCCTCCCTAAAGGCAAAGTGCAGCAGCTGGTTGTTCCTGGGCATCTTCAGGTTCACGTCCTGATAGGCAAGAGTGGGATAAGCTGGGCAGAAGGATGCCCTCCTGCTTTTGGCCACTCTGAGCCCTTGAGCCGGGGGCAGAAATGGGGTGTGTACAGTGGCTCAGGCCACAGCCACTACATGGAGCAGAGGGCCTTTCAACACCCTGGCCATTTGGGGAGTGAACAGGGAGGTCAGGAAACAGGAATTCAGGCCCAAGAGGAACCACGAGAAGTGAAAGGGTAAAGAGTCAAGAAAGGGGAAGGCGGCTTCGTCTGGGAGGAGGCGTGTAGTTGTGGGCAAACGGGAAACGTGTACATGCCAAGTGACGGAACGCCCACCCGAGGAGAGGGACCTTCCTCCAGGCCTTGGCACCTGCCACAGGGTCAAGTGCAGCTGGAGCTCAGATGTTGGCTGACTGCACTTTGATGTGGGGCCAGCCTACTCCTGCCAATGCCCACGCTTCCTGGGGCCCAGAATCCAGGTAGGGCCAGGTAGCGCTGTGTGCAAAGCATTCCTTCCCCCTTCCTGCACCTGTCACTGAAGCCACACACCAATCTCATGAGCGGGTTAGGGAGGGTGTCATTTTACAAACGAGGAAACTGAGGCCCAGAGAGGTCAAGGATCCTGCCCAGAGTCACACAGCTGGCTGGCGGCAGAGCTGGGATAAGCAGGAGGCCCCCACGCTCTTCTCTTCTGGGTCC